AGAAGTATTGAAAACAACATATGAAATATGTTATACATACCTAGCCGATAATTGTAAACAATTGACTACCTTTACCAAGCAAACAATTGTAACACAATTCAAAATGGCGGGGAACAGATAGCACGTGGCGGGAAAAAAAGACATGTCTCTTTTTCCGCCTCAAAACATCAAATACAACTTCACAACATGTTGAAAGTAATATGAAAGGTATACATCACCCATCGCAGAAGATTTTAGAATGGTAGACGAATGGAAGGCCTAAATAAATCCAAAAAAACGAGAGCTCCGCTGGAAACGTCCTAGCTATGTCGCGACAGGCAGTGATGTGAAGAGTTGACCTTTGGTCACGTGATCACCGGGACAGCGACGGCGGGATATAAAAGTGGGATTGTGAACAGAATCATTCACCCAAGGACCATCGCCGGTTAGCTGTCCCAGTTTTTTTTTGTCGCAAGGTAAGCAGTGAATGCATTAAGGAGTAAGTAAAAAATAAAGGCAATGGTTGTTTAAGAATTGCGATAAGATCTGCATTGTTCCCCACAAATAAATATCCGTATAGACCTTCGAGCTATCCCAAAAACGATGGACTCAACTTTGATGGTATAGACGAACCTACACCGATCTCACAAATTGATAAGGTGGAAAAGCAAAATAATTTACCTATAAATGTTTTCAGACATTCTTCTAAAGGAATTGTTGTACACAGGATAAGTTCTGCCCAGAATCAATTTATTTCAAATCGAAAAAGATGATAAATATCATTATACATGGATAAAGAGTTTAAGCAGGCTATTATACGATCAAACAACCCATAAGGAAAAGAAATATTTCTGCGAAAGATGCTTGCATTGGTACAGCAGACAAGATCTATTAGAAGCACATAAAGAAGACTGTAGAGGTGTTGGACAGACTGCTATCAGGATCGATATGCCTAAAGAGGGAAAAAATATATTAAAATTTGAACATTATTGTAATCAAATGCCAGTATTGTAAGTTATTTACGCTGACTTCGAAGCACTTATCAAACCTATAGAAAATACTGAACACAATACTGAATGTAGTTTTACCTACAAAACTCAAGAACATATTCCTTGCGGGTTTGGATATATAGTTGTAAGGTATGATGGGAAAATAAACCCGCCCGTGATTTACAGAGGTCCCGATGCAGTGGGAATGTTCCTAGAATACCTACAAAACAAAGAGTAAAAAATCAGGGAAAATTTATCGCGTAAGAAACCCTTGTGTATGACGAGGGACGATTGGAGGGCCTATAAGAAGTCAACGATTTGTCATATTTATAATACACCCCTGAATGGGGATTCTGTAAGAGATCATTGTTACGTCACGGGTAATTATCGGGGAGCTGCTCATAACGAGTGTAACTTGAAACTAAAAATGAATTCTCAAACAATACCCATCCCCGTTGTGTTTCACAACCTTAGAGGATATGATTCTCATCTTATCATGCAAGCTATCTCAAAGACCGACGGCGGCTAACATGTATTCCTAATAATATGGAAAAATACATATCATTCTAAGACTAAGACTATACATTATACGGACAAGGATGGGAAAGCCAAAACAAAACAAAGTACAAAGTAATGGACTTAGATTTATAGGCTCTGTACAGTTTCTGTTATCTTTGCTGGACAATTTAGCTCATGCGAACAATCCCGAACTTTGCTATAACAAATCAATATACTGATCGGTGTCGGCATTTGTTGTTGAGAAAAGGTGTATATCCTTACGAATATATGGATGATTGGTCTAGATTCAACGAAACTAAATTACCACCCCTTGAAACATTCTATAGTAACTTAACAGAATCTAAAATAACAGATGCCGATTATGAACACGCTCTGACGGTGTGGGATAAGTTAGGTTGTAAGAATTTAGGTGATTATCACTATCTGTACTTAAAAACCGATGTACTGTTACTTGCCGATATATTCGAGATATTTCGAAAGTCATGTTTAAAACAATACGGCTTGGATCCGGCATGGTACTATTCCAGTCCCGGACTGTCGTGGGCATTGTTAAAAAAGACCGGTGTAGAACTAAAACTACTCACCGATTACGATATGCACTTGTTTATTGAGAAAGGATTAAGAGGTGGTATATCGATGACAGCAAAAAGGTATTCTAAGGCTAATAATAAATTAGTGGAAGGATATGATCCGAGTAAACCCGATACGCACATATTATATCTCGACGCCAACAATTTGTACATATGGGCTATGAGTCAATCTTTACCCACGGGTGGTTTTGAGTGGGTTGATGTGAATGATATCGATGTGAATGATATCCCCACAGATTCCGATAAAGGATACATACTAGAAGTTGACTTGGAATATCCATAAGAATTGCACAAAGACCATAACAGTTATCCGCTAGCTCCCGAAAGATTAATGGTTAACAAAGATTGGATGTCGGAATATCAACACTCCTTGATGGGTAATACTAGGTTAGCTAACGTAGAAAAACTTGTACCAAATTTGATGGATGAGACAAAATATATAGTTCACTACAGAAATCTCCAGTTATATCTATCGTTAGGTATGAAACTAAAGAAAATACACAGAGTTCTAAAGTTCGATCAAAGCCCTTGGATGGAGCCCTATATAAGGCTGAACACAGATTTAATAAAGATGGCTACCAGTGATTTTGAAAAGAAATCTATATAAGCTCATGAATAACTCAGTATTTTGTTAAACTATGGAGAATCTAAGGAAGCGTGTTGATGTTAAATTAGTCAGATCTAATGAGGAAGAAAGACTCCGGAAACTTATAGCAAGTCCGGCTTTTAACAGAAGCAAGAAATTTTATAACGACTTCGCCGCACTACATGTGCAGAAGACTTATATAAAATTGAACAGACCGGTGTACGTTGGTATGAGTATTCTTGACTTGTCAAAGCACTTAATGTATGACTTATATTAAACGAACTTAAGAAGCAGTATGGTGATAGGTGTGAGGTGTTATATACCGATACAGATTCTTTGTTGATAGAAATACAAACCGAGGATGTGTATAAAGATATGGCAGAAAAAATAGATATGTACGACATGAGCGATTACCCAGAAGATAATCCACTGCACAGCGTAGTAAATAAAAAGGTATTAGGACAAGATGAAGGATGAATGTGCTGGGACCCCTATTGCGGAGTATGTCGGATTAAGACCTAAGATGTATTCTATAAACATGATAAAGAAGTCCGATAATGGGGAGATAAGAAGTATGTAGTAAAAAAGCATATCAAACACAAACAGTATAAAGAAGCATTATTCAATGGTAGAACATTCAAACACGAGATGAACACTTTAAGAAGTGTCCATCACAGGATATATGGATTAAGAATGAACAAGACATCATTATCCCCCTTAGATACAAAGAGATGGATTGATAAGGTTGGTGTAACTACCTACGCTTATGGTTACTTAGGGCGGTAATACTGTAATGTTGGGAACTATGAGCAACTCTTCTCGTTCAAATGCCCTGCCCGGTCCATCTTTAAGATAATAAAGAATAGGCTCTCCTTCTTTCATAACCAACCGACTAATATTATATATCTTAAGAGACCAAATCGGATCGGTTGCGCGACGTTGGCCTCCTTCGAGTTGACCGGGCTGGTATAAATATCTTACACTAAATCTATCCGGAGGTTTTTGTTCTTTGCCTCTCCTTAGTGCTGAAGATTCGGAAGTCACAGATTTCATTTTTAATCGCATCGGATGGTTTCTTCCCGACTAATCTCGTTACTTCATTATTCAGCACTGATAAAACAGCTGATAATCGTGTCACCCATTCGGTTGATCTTAATCAATTCATTTCGATCCCATACTGATAGTCAAACAAATGTTCCGCTAATGTCCGGTTAAAATCTTTCAACAATAGCTTGACTACGGTGGGCCTTTTTCACCACGCCTGATTTTGACATCGTGCTTTGTTAACAGTTTAGTTATTGATCCCATAAACTCGTGAATGGGATCTACTTGAAATAGCTTAGGCCATTTTAGTGGTCCGCGTTTATATATGCGACTCGGTGCATTAGCTACTTCTGTTGAATCTTTTGAGGTTAATGGCTCAGCCTCCTTGTAGCCACTAGGCACATCCACTAAGGATAAAGCGTATTTTACGTTTTGCGTCTTACCTTATCATGGGGAAGAAAGAAGAGGTCAGCTTGATGAACTTCATTCGTTGTAAAAATAACACTTCTTCCTCGGGATATAACGCGGTGCTGGTAAGTATATTTGCCACATCGCTTGTTTCTTTGCCAATCCTTGGCCACATCTTTAGATACCTTAGCTGCAGTGGCTAATTTTTGTATTGCTCCTATACCTTTCCAATATCTTCGTGGGCTATAGTAAATTTTATTCATTATTAATTAATATTAATGATTCTTTTAATACGAATCATGACGATCGTTGAATGATGAATCGCATCATCATTTTGACATAAAATATTCCGTCTGTAGTGGTGGTATAGGTATATGAATCTGGCTCCAGTGGAAGTGAGCCAGAACCCCTATCATCTATACTACTCCATATCATACTGACAACACCTTATGAATGAAGTCATTTCATGAGTGAATGACCTTTAACATGACCTTGACATTTGACACAACCATAACTTAAGACAGGTATCAGGGTTAAAAATGAATGTACATTTTCACTTCATAACTGATCTGCTATAGTTTCCATCTCTACGGACATGAAAATGATTTGATATTTTACAGAATAAAACTGAAATTTCCTGTAACTCAAGTCATGTTTTATGTGACCTCTTGGGACCATGACCTTATATAGAGGTCACTAAAAAATTGATGCAATTGAGACCCCACCATGGAGTTGTTTACTATCAAGTATCATCAAATTAGAAACCTATTCAAGTTACAGTTGCCTACTTTGATGATTAACACTCATTGAAACCTTCTGAGCTTAATTGAGATGCCAATAAATCAGAAAGGTTCAGAAAATAGTGAAGATAAAGTTGATTCTTACCATTCTCTTCTTCCTCTCATCTGACCGCTTCTTCTTTTCCTTCTCTTTAACTTCCTCAAACTCCTCCACCATGTCCAGACAGCTCTCCAGATTCTCAACTGGCTCCCATGTATCAAACGCTTTTGAGTAGCCCTTCCACCTCACCTTGTACACCTTTACTCCCTGAAACAGTAAGTGAAGTGAAGGAGTGAACATTGTCTGGGCCAGACAAACCAATGGTTGATATATGAGCTTCTGCCCAACTGATCCAACTTAGTAGCCTAGTATTACAAGCAAATGGGTGCTGGGGCCAATTTTAACTCGCTCTGGCTCTACTGAGCCTGACTTTATCATGTTGTTTGTTTGGATTAATACATAACCTTGGATGCAAGAAGGACAAGCACACAAATAAAGATTTACAGGCTTAGATGCTGTGGAAAAGTCTCTGATATGTGACATCATTTTTCATTTTAGGCAAAGTAAAACAACAACGGATCTCAAGTTTTCTGGAATATTATCTAGAATATTATATCCGAGGTCATGTTAAGGTAAAGCAGAATGAGCAAACAGACGTCTCTATACAACAGGCATGTTCACAGCATGTTCATTAACATACAGATTGATACACAGTGGTATAATGAGTCATAGATATGTAGCAGAAGTGATTGATATGTAGTGAAACGACGCAGTAGATCGTTAAACAATTGTGATTGATGATATATGATGACAATAGCAACATTCACATTACATCAGTACACTGTCTAAATAGGAATGTATCATGATACACACTATTTCATTTGCATACCAATATATGAGTGATAGTGGGCCATCTCTACTTGGCCATGATTGGCTGGCACATGGAAAACTTGACTGGACAGGCCTCAAAGTTGCGACTAAATCGGTGGCCAATGCAACCTAAATTTCAATTTGTCTACTGTCTAAAATTCAGAGGTAGCCAAATGACTACCTTGAAAAATATCTTGTGGCAACTAAATTCTATTGCTACACATATGTAGACGCAAAAATAAACATGTCTGCAACTAATTGTACTCGCAAATAATTCCTCCTAAAGTCAACAATGAACCGAAATACACAAATATTAATGTAATTAGTATTTTATTTTAGTTGATAGTTTATTGAATAAGCAAGGACATACCTATATAATCTAGTAACATTAATGGCATCACTGTTCGAGTCACAAATAACAAACAGTTTCCACTAATTTTAAATTCCAAGACTAGTGCTATGGCTTCGACATATAATAATCATTTGATAAAAGATCATTTCAAATGCTTTTGGCTACCTACAAATACAATATTGGCTTGACTTTTTGATTTTACCACTGGCTATCTAGAAACAAAATACTTGTAGCCATATGGCGACTTGGTAAAAATTTAAACTTTGAGGCCTGTTGGAAGTCATTATTTTATGTGTCGGAGAATTCCAAGGAGGTACTAGATGACATTTTGTTGAAACATACAGAAGTGTTTGCAGATGAATGGGCACATTTACACGACAAAAGGTTAAACTTCAGGTGGATGAGAATGTATAGCCAAAGTTTTACAGACCTCGACCTGTACCTGCTCCCTACAAGAGACAGTAGATGATTAGCTTCAGAGACTGATGAAGAATCCAAAATGTTCATAACCATCAATACTCTATCAATACAAGCAGCTTTCATTGGGAATTCACTCAGCACCTAGCATTTTCCAAAGGACTACAGATGCGCTCTCACAGGGCATGTTGGAGGTTATCAAGATGATGTATCAATAACTGGCAAGAGTGATGAAAAGCATTTCCAAACATTGACATTACCTTGTCCAGATTCAAGGAAGCTGGACTGATATTGAAGAAAGAGAAATGTGAGTTCTTCAAACATGAGATTTCTATTGCTGGACACAGGATTGATACCTGGGAGTTTGTGCACTATATAATCAGATAGCTGCTGCTCGGCAGGCTCCACATGCAAGGAACATGTCTGAACTATGCTCCTTCTTGGGTATCGTCAACAACTACTCAAGGTTCCTTCCTAACCTGTCAACCAAGTTAGCTCCTTGAACAGGCTACTTAGGAAGGACAGGTTTGGGGATCAACAGAAGTCCATTAAAATGCCATAAAAGAACTTCTGTCTTCAGCTTCCCTTTTGGTACATTACGACTGGCTTAGCCTTTTGTTCCCTCATGTGATTCCCTCCGTCATGGAGTAGGGGCATAGAGATTAATACACAAGTATCTGTCAGATGCCAGTTAACTTACGAGTTGTTTCAAAGTGTATCTAATGATGCACATTTAGTTAGATTCATTTTTTCTCATGAAAATATAATTCTACAACCAAATGAAGAATTCTTTTCAAACATGCATAACCTGAATTTGAAAATAAATTACACCTTTTCTGTGAAATGTCTGTGTTTTTCTCTCATGAAATGTTATTATGTAAATTTTTCATCATCATTATTATATAAAAACTAGGAATACAATGAAGTAAATTTGGGGAACAGTTGCTCGACAAATGTTGGGAGATGGTCCATCAGACCAAGACAATTTAAATATTACCATGTTCTTATGTTATATGTGCTCTTATTGACTAGCCCCTAAAACCACCGACCAGAGTGTAGTCGCCCATGGTTGTTCATGGTAATGGAAAAACACAAGGAAGTTATGTTTACCAATATTCATCAATACACTTGATACTAGACAATTCGTACACATTGAGATTCTTAACCATTGAAAATGGCAAACCCTTACCTAAAATTCCCATCCAATTTGTACCCGATTTGGAGCAATTATTCTAAATTTGGCAGACTCATTCAAAGATTTAGGTGAATCGTACTCAAATCTAGCGGATCTGAACACAATTTTAAAGAACCCAAACAATAACTACATTGAGTGAACTCAATTGATTGTGGTAGCATTTTGTTGTTTTAGTTTTAAACTACTAAGTTCTTGGGAGTCAGACAGTGTAGCAAGCAGTTTACACAGTCAGTTATTGGACTACGCATGCATTGTTATATGAAATACAAAACAAACAATGTCTGAATGTTTTGCAGTAAAATTACATAAATTTTCACTGTGAACAAATACATGACTACAGATTGTCTAGTTCCATTTGACAATGTGTTTATCATTAAGCCCATGAATATATTCTTACACTCAGCACATCTCCCACATCAGACATTGTTGAGCTCATTCTTAAAAATACAAGTGACATTTACTGTTTCATACTAACTGCTGAAGTGCAATTTTCATAATCAAACTAACATATTTTTTTTTAGCTTCGGATTGACAAACAAAAACAGACAAAATTTAAGTAAGCAATATGCATATCACGTTGAGAGGTTGAGCAAGGTTAGCAGGTCAAAACAGTAATCTATATAAGATGGATTGTAGTCAAAACAAAATGGCAGAATGGCCTCAAAACTCAAAAGTTAAAACAGCGACAAAAAGTCCTAAGGGCCACAACAAAAAAGTCAAAATGTCCATGATATAATTAATGATAAAAATACAATGTGAGCAGGATGTGTACAGACTATACATGCTAGATGTTGTTATTACAATGTGATAACTTCCAGTCGAGTTCACAGGTTGTTTGAACCAATCTTTGTACTGACCAGTGTACCAATCTGTTGTGAAAACATGAATACACTTTTATTCTAATGAGGAAACTTTTCAGTGTTTTAATTTCAAACTAACCCATTCAACACCAACCCCTTCAGTCATGGATCAACTCCCCATGCTGGTGAGACAGGGAAGCTGACATCAGTGAAAGTGAGGGTGTCTAGCTGGGAGAGCCACATTTCAGAAATGGCTATTGCCAGTAGAGCCACATTTTCAGCTAAGTGCATTTCACCTATTCTAGCGGGTAATTAATTTATCCGATTACTGATACCTTTATATGAGTGTACCACATTTAAATTACTAAGCGTGGTGTTCTTTAGAGATCAAAGGCGGTCTTAATTGACATTGAGTTCATCCTGTTATTCATAACATATTTAAGTGACGTCGTGTTCACTCCATATCAGAACCATGGCAAACGCACAAGTTCAAATAAAGTTCATTGAAAGTGTCAGAGGAGGCGTACATTTGTACTATGATGGCTTTCGGTCTAAGAGCAGTCGTGGTGAAAGAAGATAATGGTCCTGTATTGTCAAGGAGTGCACTGCAAGGATCACAACTCTGGGTGAGTTGCTCCACGCCATTGAGATCATGGGTCACTCCCACGACCCACAACCATTCGAGTTTGAGGTTGATGCCTTTAAGGCTAGACTGATGGAGAGCGCGAGGACAGAAACGACACCTATACCCACTATCTATGGAGAGGAGATATCCAGACTACGCCAACATCACGATATTGTCTCAGATGACCTCCAGAAGCAGATACCAGCCCGGAAGTCTCTCACCACTATCAGCAGACCCCAGATCCAGCTGGAGGAGAAGTACGCCCAGACTGAGGGAGGCGACCAGTTCCTACACCGTGTAAGTGACAACATCCTCATCTTCACTACAGACAAGAACATTGAACATTTGTGTACTGCAGACATTGTATTTTGTGATGGTACATTTTATGCCTGTCCCAAGTTGTTTGATCAGATTTATTGTTTACATGCCGAGGTGTTTGGCCATATGTTTCCATTAGTTTACTGTTTGTTGTCCAATCGAACAAAAGAGTGTTATGTCAACATGTTTCAGTACCTATGCGATTTTGCTAGTAGAGGAGGTCTAGAGTTTGCCCCACTTACAATTCAGTTGGACTTTGAACGTGCAGCTCACATACCGTGACTGATGTATTTCCTGGGACATTAGTTAGAGGGTGTTTCTTTCACTTCACCCAATGTATCTGGAGGAGGGTGCAGAAAGAAGGTCTGGTGATGGACTATAAGGAAGATGAGGAGGTGAAGAAGCTGGTGAGAAGAGCTGCTGCCCTCCCTCTAGTACCTCGTGACAAAGTGGATGATGTGTGGCTTGATGCCATTGCTGACTCTCCTGCTGGCCCTAAAGTGACTGCCTTAATGGACTACGTGACAACCAGTTGGGTTCAAGGAGGGGCCTTCATGCCAGAGATTTGGATCCATTTCGAAAACCAAGGCCACCGTACCAACAATCACCTGGAAGGGTGGCACAACAAGATAAAGAAACTTGCCAAGAAGTGCAACCCGAACATCTACGAGGTAGTGAAGCTATTTCAGC